TTTTATATGAGGACCTAATCCTTCAAACTTTTTCTGTCGTCCGATTCCAGAAAAATGTTGGGTAAATCTGTTTCTAAATCAGCTGACGAATTCGACATTTTGAAAACTGTAAACAATATCATATCCCAGAAAATTGCCGATAAAACTGAGTGCGAAATGCGCGGCTAGCGGCACTAATAAACGTTGCACTGGTGGACTGTAGTCAGTTCAAAAAATGGCTATTCTCATGTCAACGGTATAGTTTCTACTCTCATGTCGGATCACGACTGGTGGTCGCAATGCGCGCGGAAGGGAAGTATGAGTCATCACGACTGGTCGTGATGCACACGCAGAGTTTTAAAGCTCACGTCTCGACTGTTATCATTATAATAGAAAAAATGTTCATAAATGCTGGAAATATTTAGTTCCGACGGATCTATTCGGACTCGGTTTGAATAGCCCTTCATTAAAACAGAGGGGAGGACTTCAGTAACGAGCGACTGCCATGAGACAAGAGTAGAATAGAGGGGCAGGGTGGTAGATATAGAAGATCTGTCTTACCTGTCCTGGGCAACAACGTCATTGCACACAGGACAGGTCCTTAAGATCAAGATCTAGTACTACAGTAGTCTCCGCCTAAGATCCTGGTGCTCGGGAGCAAGGAAAATGCGAACTGGGATCTTAACAGAATGGCCACAGGGAAGAATCCATAGTAACTCACGGTCAAACCCAAAATCTGTACAATGGCATCTTCTTACTTTAAAATGAACTGATGTGACTCCTGGGCACTAAAAGTTCTTTTCAGAAATCCGTTTTTCCTTTTTTTTTTTGGGGGGGGGGGGGGGGGGGGGAGACTTTTTAAAAATTACTGATGGGAACCAGTTAGCTTCAAGCAATGCCCCACACCAAAAATTTTTTGCCTTCCATCTCTAATGGAGTTCCCCGCCCATGTCATTATGCATCATAAATCGTTGTGCTGTGACCAAACCGACCAAATTTAAAAAAAATGAAAGGCTGGTTCACTGCCAACAGATGACTCCATTACTCAGAGGCAATCGGACAGTCTATGAGTATGGGCGCCAGTCTGTCTAGAAAGTTAAAACGCAAAACTGAAAGACGAGAGAGGGATGGTCGGGAAAACGTAAGCGTCCACGAGTTAACAGTTTGATGGAATGCGGTCTGATACAGGGTCTGATGCTTGCTTATAGGCCCTCCCCACCTAGTGTGTGATGTAAGATCAGGCGGACGGCTCAGGTGATTCGGGAGAGCAAGGCATCGACGAGTTCACACCCTGGTGCTATCCCGTCTGGGGCAAACATTGTAACTGCTTATCAAGATTAACAACAGAGGCGTGATCCCATTCATGAGAGTGGATGATCCGTGACGTGACGGACCGTACAATGATTGCACATCTTTGCTACTTGGTTGATCTTAAATTTTTAAAAACCAAACTAAATTATGACCTGAAAAGCGGGATCTTAGCCGAATGTAGCTCCTGCAGTGCGGGATCTTAGGGGTGACTTTTATATAATAAAAATTCTGTTTTTCCTAAACAGCGAGATCTAAGGCGAACCGGGACCATAAGCGGTGGGATCTTAGGAGGAGACTACTGTAGTAGTAGGCCTACTAGGGTTAGGGGAATAGGGTTAGGTCTCTTTTATTGGTAAATTTTTACTTATGCACCCACACACAGAGATGCATTGATTTGAGGGCTAAACTGCTATAATTTTTGCTGTACAACACACGTATGGCCTCCTGACCCTTGCAAATCAATTGTTTTCAAGTAAATATCAATCCTAATTGCCAAAACATCAAATCATTGTGTAATGCAGGGGGTATGCCCCCCTGAAACCCCCCGGATTCTTTTTAGGTCAGGAGGGCATCCCCCATAGTGTTAAAATCAAGCCAAATATTACTATTTTCAAACATCAATAACTCAATAACTATTGATTTGAGGCAAAAATAAATGAAGGCCATATTCGTGTTCAGCATACAAAATACTATTTGAAAAAAGGTATATATATATAAAATGTGTATATGAGACGGGTGCATGAGTAAAAAAAAAACCCTTCTCTTTATTGTGTTTGTTGGGGTTGTCACTTGTTACGAAAGTCCTTCCAAATAGAGAGCATAATGAGGATACAATGGAAGCATAATATTTTGATCAGTATTCTTTTATTTTCCCTCCCGTCTCACACTTTTAGTTAAAAATAACAACTAGCCTAAGTGTCTATTTTCTACTCTTATGGGCTGAACACAAATATCGACTTCATTTCCATAGCAAATAAGAATAGTTTTTGAAGTATTTGATGGTTTTTAAATGGACTATAATCACACTAAGCCTAACTGCGTACAATGTCTGTGCTTTGGACCATTCGGAGGGGGGGGGGGGGGGGAGAATGGGGATGGATGCCCCAAAGTGTAAAAAAAGATGCTCCCCCCTGCCCCTGTTTAAGTCATGAATTTCAACTTTATATCTATTTCAAAGTATTAGTTTGAGATATTTTATGTTTTGATTTGAACCATGTAATAGAAGGCCTTATTTGCGGGATAATCTGGTTGTTTTGGCCCCAACGATATAAGTAAGGTACTCTAATGGCAATGGAGTATGACTTTGGCTCCACCAAAGAACATACACACACTAAAATAATTGCAAAACATCAATTTATGGTTAAATACAGGAGGGTATGCCCGCCTGAAACCCCCCATATTTTTATTAGGTCAGGGACAGGGGGGCATGCCACCCCTGATGCTTCCTTGTTAAAAACAAGTGAAGTTTTTATAATATTAAATATTGCTGCTCATTTTGTACTGAAAAATAGCAGCACATTCCTCTCCCTCTTTCAGATAAAACATCTGTATTGAGTATTAAAATCTGTATCGTTCCAGTACTCTTGAGGCCAAAACCAGAGATTGTCAAATTTACCACTTTCATTCGTATGCAGGCACTGCTTTTGGGGGCTAAATTGTTGTATTTTTGGCTGCAGAACAGGCATACTACTAAAACTGCCACAAATAGCAAGAAAATCTTAAATTTAATTCAAAACATTCAATTATAGGTTTACACGGGCCATTTGTGAGTTTTACTGAAAAATGTTGATGAAAGGCACAAAAAATATAAATTTGCAGTTTTTTAGGACAACCAAGCTTTGGGAGTCACCAAGCCTTTGTGGTCGTTATCTCGCTAATTTTATTTCTGACATAAGGCCACCCCTAATTCCATCAAATGCAAAGCTCTCTACTTTTTTTCAAGATAGATGGGTATTTTTTTTCATTAAAAGCTGGAAAAATGAACAAGCTTTAAGATAATTTATAACTCCATATATGCCAAAAAATTGGTGAGTGCCTGATTTCACCGTATGGTGATATATAATATATGTTGCTGCAATGTTTCAAGAAAAATGTCCTTGCTAAGTTGTGTAGTATCATTTACAAAGTGTTTACGGGGTTCACAAATGTGTTTGACACAGATTTAAACCATGATAACAACAAATAAAAGGAAGCAACTGTGACAGTAGACTGTTAGACAATGAAGTTGTGATGTAGATGAACCTTCAGACAAAAAAAATTGCTGTACGTCAAATCATGATCATTACAGTGTAACCGACACTGGTCAGGGCACGCCACCCTCCAATTTAGCGTAATCACTTCCAGATGCACATACCATATGGCCCAGAGCAGCTTCACACGACCCAATGCAGTGCCACACTGTTTGTTTTTTATCGCATCCCATCACCACTGCACTCGCCCTCGTTTGTATGACTATGTTCAAGGACATTCTAGCATCTTAATTATTTGGGCCCTGACCTCCTGAGGCTACCACGCCCCTCTGCCTGAGCTTCTGAGGAACTAACATTCTTATGATCAACAGAATCACATTCCATATCCCACTCAGGGTAGTCCTTGTCATTACCAGAATCTAATTCAGAAAGATCTTCAAAATAATCAATACGGTCCTGTGTAGAAAGCACTGTTTTCCGTCCACAGTTTGTCCCAGACGGGCTGGGCTGGGGATAGGGTTTCTCTCACCACTGTTCTGGTGGCGAGGCATACAGGTAGTTTTATGCGCCACCAGTGTGCCGATGGCTAGGGCTCAAAGGGTTAAACACACTACTGTGTGTTCATATGATCTTATGCAGTTGGGAGCGCCTTAAAACTTACAACCCCCCCCCCCACACACACACTTTGCAATGGTGCATCTTGATACCAGTTGTATGTGTAACATGCAGGGGCAAGCTTGGTGGGTCCATGAAACCTTATACTCTCCATGATGATGGGTGTGTTTGTTTTCCATTGTGCATGATGGGTGATTTTGAAATCGAGGCAGACTGGGCTTTTGGAGATGAGCCATTCAGCACACAGGGAAGTTTGAGAAGTGTTGCCAATACAAAGAAAATATAGAGGTTCGGTCAGGGAATAGCATATTGTTCGGGCTGTCCTTGAATTTGATTTTTTCATGTTTGAGGTATCTGTACTCAACTATAGTATCAAATCAAGTTGACAATCACAGGTTAGTTGACCCCCCTCCCATAATATATAGATTATGTTTATTGTTACACATGCACAATGGACCAGGATTTGGGAATGTCAAAGGTCTTTTGTAGACTTTTGGGTCTGCTGACAAAGATGTAAACTTTGCAAATCCACAGAGACTGGTCAGAAATATATTTTTTCATCATTGTCTTTTCAGGTTGTTTACTTTTCTTTTTAGTTTTGTATTCAAAGGATTTTTTTTTCTGGCAATAATAAGCAATATGTCCACAAGGCGTCCATCGGGCTTTGAAGGTTGTCATTATGACTTCATTCTGTATTGATGGTCTGGTCTCAATTTTGTTTCTGAGTTGCACACTCATTTCCTTCTTTTTTTAACGTTAATGATTGGAAGGAGAGAATACCAGCCTCTGTTACATATTACCAGGTGCAATTGTGTTTGTGTTCAGAAGAAATTTGCATTTTTTAGTTAGAATTGATTTTCCTTCCTGTATAATTCGGCTCATGTTTTTTTGTCTTTTAAATTTCAGATTTCTCTACAACGTTTTGTGCAAAAACCAGACTGTCACTGAGCAGAATCGAGGGTTGTTGGTCGAGACTCTACGCTCCATCTCTGAGATACTGATTTGGGGAGACCAAAATGACAGCAGTGTTTTTGAGTAAGTGTCTCTCACTACATGTGGCCGTTGAATTGTGAACGATTTGTCGTTTGAATGCAACGCAGAAATTCGATATCAGGGCAATAATTTTTGTTTGACATCTTGTGATACCTAATTAATGCATTTAAAAGACAGAACGTTCACAAGTTTCCTAGATTGCTCTTTAATTTTGCTGTATTTTATAACATAATTACTAAAGTTGAATCAAGTATGAGTGAGAAAAGGGAGACGTATCTGTATATTTTCTGTTTTACATTTGAGATTTTTAGTAATTTTCAGACCTTGCAAATCTTTTAAATAGATTCTCTTGTTCAGTGCTAGCCTGTGATTTCCACTGAGTTGTAAAGGTGTAAGAATGTTTATTAATATGTTTTTGTAATTAAAACTCGCTTTTTATCACAGTTTGTACAAGCTTTTGTTAGATTTATTGTTGTGTGTTATTTTTTAAGCAGACCCCTTATTGTGCCTTAGCTTGTTTATTATTTTGTTAAAAGAAAATTTGGAGCAAAAATTTAGTTAAAATATTTCTTTGTGTACGAAAGGTAAGAAAATGGATTGTGTATTAATTGTTTAGCATATATTTTGTTACAAAAATTGTAAAGTCCTGTGAGTGTTTTTTTTAATGCTTGACGATATCGTTTACTCCCCAGTTTCTTCCTGGAGAAGAATATGTTGTCCTTCTTCTTACGCTATCTGCAGCAGAAGTTTGGCCGTTACATATGTGTGCAGCTTTTACAGACGCTAAACATCTTGTTTGAGAATATCAGCAATGAGACTTCACTATGTATGTGGCAGCCGTTATTCCTAACTTTATTCATTGCATGTCCAAGAAATGCATTTGAAAAAAAATGAAGGCAGTTTTTATGCTGTTTATCATCACTTTTGTTATCAGACATTTGACTCAGTCATGTTACTTACTAGGAGATAGTGATGGTCAGTGCTGATTCTATTGAAAGGAATGCACATTGTTAATGTACTAATTGAACTAATTTCTCCCTTTTTTTCTGGAAATGTTTTTGTACACATTTCAGTTGTATATTCTTATATGAAAATCTCAAGTGAAATACAGTCAAACCTGCCCTGACGGCCACCTCTATAAGACGGCCACCTGTACAAACGGCTACTTTCCATTTCCCCCCTTGCGTTTTTTCTATATAATTTAACTGTGTAAAACGGGCACCTGTCCAACGTGGCCGTGGCCACCATATTTTAACACACAACCCCTATCACACTAAGCAATAACACCTGTCTTAGACGGCCACCTTAGTGACTCCATTACATTTTGTCAGAAATTGTGCATTGCCCCCTGGCGTTGTGGGCGAGACGTCATAATTCAATCACTTGTCGTTGTTGTTACAACCGATCATGTTGCGTAGGCCCCTCCCACTGTTGACAAATAGGTATCAATTTTCAGCTGCAGGTGAGGTAAGCGTGTGATCCCTCATTCCCATAAGCCCCGCCCAGAACTCATATACAAATCGTAAGTGAGATGAGTGGTCACTGTTTTCCCAGTCTGTAACAAATGACGTCAACATGAACTTGTGACAGAAGCGTCGCTCGTTCTCCGAGTGGTGGTGACTCATGTGTTTGTTTTAATATGGCACTCGGTCTTCCTCGCCTGATACATTTCGTTTTATTGTCACCCTTGCACTAAATCAGCAACAAAATAAAAATTACAAACGAAATACAAATCAACAACAACAACAACAAAACAACAATGAGGCTACTTACTACTTTCGATTGGGACCTCAGATGGGAATGGGTTTTTTTCTTCCTCTTGATCAGTCCTGCCTAAGACGGCCTCCTGTCTTATACGGCCACTTTTCTTCTTGACAATGGGTGGCCGTCTTACACAGGTTTGACTGTAGTTGAAAGATTAAGCTGTAGTATTGGAGATTTTCTTCTCAAACATGGTGGAAACTGAGATTTATAGAGTAGTCTCATTGGTTGTGTGGTGGGGAAGTACAGAGATTAGTCATATTATGGAATTAATTTTTCTTGAACTCGATGCTGTTCAAGTTTTTTTAATGACATAGAGATGTCCAGAAATTTTGTTCAAACTTTGCTTTTACCTGGGCTCTAATTTTCTAAGTAAGACTTTTGATATGGCACAGTACATGGATCTTTCTTATAAAATAAGCGTTCCCAAGTGACTTTTTGTTTGGTATCCCATGCGTAAATTGTTAATTTTCGCTCATGATTTTTTGATGTGTGCTGTTAGTTCTGCATTTACTCACTAGTGCCTTTTACTTTTATTGTTTCTGTTTGGTAAAATGTGGGACATTGTGACTTGTATATTAGATTTGGTTTCTATTAAATTTTTTTTTCTCCAGATTATTTGCTGTCAAACAACCATATTAACTCAATCATCGTTCATAAGTTTGATTTTTCTGATGAAGAGGTAAGTTTTACTCAAACTATAATTATTGAAATCATCTTTGACAGGTCTCTGCTTTTTCTCTCCTGGGCTTTTATTTTTGTCTTTAGTCTTTCTCTATGTCTCTGTGTGTCGCTCATCTGTGTCTGTGTTTTGCTCTTTTCAACCATAGCAAAAAGATTGTGGGTGGTTGGTGGGTGCTCTGGTGTGGTTTGCTCCTTCTTTCCTATCAAACATCTATCGTCCTTATCTTCCCTTCTTCTTTTTTATATTTGTTGCTCTCTTTTAACACTTCTCATCTTCTGGCGCTCTTATGACCTTATGCAATTGCGAGCGCTGTAAAACCTCTACTAAAACTAATAAAGCAAAAAGATTCTTCCCGTTCACAGTAAGTAATAATAAGATGTTCACTTTCAATTTATCAGAATATACAGTTATACTTTGGGACAGTTTTAAATGAAGATGGAATTGATGATGATTTACTTAGACATAAGGATGACCTCAGGTTAGTCTCACATTACACTTACTATAGTCGTCTGTGGATGGTTGGAGGCCGTCACTAATAGGTCTTACTTAAACTAACTAAACTAAACTACAGTCATCGCGGTTACATCATAGTTTTTATTTGCTTTGTGCTGTTTTATGTAACAGATATAATTTTTATGGACAATACAATCCGCATGCAAATGTTTTGAAATAGTTTTTTATACCATGTTCATAGAGAGAGAGAGAGAGAATGAATGTGTTACGGAGCGGGTTGTCCCAGCCCGTGAGACATGTATTTACTTGGCATAATGTCCTGTCTTGTTGTGCGTTTGCGTGAGTGCACCTTTAAGTCTAACTTTTGTAACGTCTACTGCCATTGTTAACGACCAAGACAAATTTCTCCCTGCGAGATGAATAAAGATTGTCATTGTCATTGTCATTGTCATTGTCATTGTCATATTGGCAATTAGCTCAGTTCTGTTGAAGAAGCAACTGTTTTAATTTAATGTCATGTCCAATGTTTTGTTTCAGGTGATGGCTTATTACATTTCCTTCCTCAAAACGCTTTCTCTGAAACTGAATAGGCACACTATTCACTTTTTCTATAATGAGGTAAGAACCGACTATCTTTTTTGACTTATTTAGTGTGTTTGCATGATAAAGATGGAGATAAAATGTTTGAAAGTGGTGATTGGGAATGCTGAAAAGAGACTTGAGTCATGTCTGCAAGGTATGCTTTTCCCTTTTTCAATCATTCTGATATTTGTCTGGTGCTATGAGAAAACTTGCACAAAAAAATCTCCAAGGGGGTTTGGAAGTGTTCGTGGCAAGCAGTATAGCTTGGCGGTCTTTCTTTCAGCGCAGGCACGTTTGTGTGAAATATTCCAGGTTTGACAGGAATTATCTAATCTTCTTCTTTTCCTTTGCCTTTAAACTTGGAAGCCAACTTCCAACTACAAATATGGAAATTTTCTGTTGTATGTCTACCGGCCTAAAAAATTTCTCCTGGAGAGACATGGGGGTTGAAAGATTATTTTGTGAAATTAAAACAAAATTATTCTAAAATGTGTCACGACACAGTGGAATCAGGTGCTGGTCAATTTTCAGGCATATAGAGTTATTTTTATCATCTTAAAGCTTGGTTATTTGTCTTGCTTTTGATGACAAAAATTACCCATCTATTTTGAGTAGAATTCGAGACGCCTGCGATTGAAATTAGCAAGAAAATGGCTGTAAAAGTTTGGTGACTTCCAAAGCTTGAGTGTCCTTGAAAATTGCAAATTTACTTTTTTGGTGCTTTTGATTAATGTTTTTCTGTAAATCATACGCAGAAGCCTCAAAAATATCTGCTGGAAGAGAAAAGGTAAATGCTCAGTGCAAAGTATGACCAAAGCTACTAGGTTTCTCATATCGCCACGCATTTTCTCACCCTATGTTTTGAAGAGCATTTATTGAAGAGGTCCTGTTGGAGACTGACCTGCTTTACCTGGTGAAGGACTTGGGTGTATTGCATAAAGGAGCACTTATAGATCAATTGATGTGGTGGGAGTATTGATTGTTTGAGGGGAGTCTGGCAGGGTTGGGTCATTTTTGTGTTCTTGCACAGGTTGAATAGGCACTGGAACACCTGATTCAGTCATGTGAAAGTAGTAGTTGTTGTGGATTTGATGTGTGTTAATGTTGTATTCGTTACCCCTCAAATTTGTTGTGATGTTTGAAGACCACAGTGTTTCACTGGAATGCACTCATTTTGTTTTCTCCATTTTGACAACGACTTTCATTAGAAAAAAATTTGTACTGATGTCGGTGTATTTATTTCACCCTTTTCATTTCATTTCCATTAGAGAATTGTTCTAATGATTTTCTCCTCTGTCACAACCATACCTTCACTGTTGACATCACTGTTTACCTTGCACTTCTATTATTATAAATTCACCTCTGTAAATTGTATTCACATAGAAAACACATGTACAAAGACACTGGAGGTGGAGATCTGATATGTTTTTGCAATTGTTTTCCCCTGGACACTGTGGTAATTTACTTTTTGTTTCTCATGAATTCCAAATCATGGCTTACCTGTCTTTTGTGGTCTTCATGTAATTTGCTTTTCAGACCTCTCATATTCCAGTAAGTCCAACTGACTTTCAGTTTCATGTTTTAAAGGAAAATTTTATATGGTGAAGGAGTTTTTTAGTTGTTTTTTTCATAAACTGATTTCTCGCAATGAACTTCAGTAGATAATAATGCATGTTATATTTTTAAAAACGTAAAATCAATTATACCATCTGGATCCTTTTCAGCTTAGAGCGTGTTTTTTTTTTTTTTTCAATAAGATGCAAGTTGTCTTAAGATGCCTCTGTTTGGTGTCTTGGCACAAATGAATGGTTGTTAAAAGTTTTGTTTCTTCAGTGCCTTCTTTTTTTGTTATTGATATTTTAAAGTTTTTATTATTTGAACATATACCTACTGTGGGGAAATTAATAAAGGTGGTGGGTTTTTAATAGCTTTTGTTGGGAATTATTTTTTTATCTTAAAACTTGGAAAACTTTTATTTTAGTCGTTTTTAAGTTTTTGAAAATATATACTTTGCTGTGGTTTGCCATTTCCCTCCATCTCCCTCAGCTTTTCCCATTGAAAGATTTTTAAAACATAAACAGTCCAGTTTGTCTTGTACCAGCAGAAACATTTTCAATGCACTTTTGTCAGCTTCAATCAAATTTCGTTCAGCCTAGTTTGTGTCTCTTTTGTGGCATACTCTTTGAAATCACCACATTTTGTCTGATGAAGTTTGTGTTAGTGCTGGGTCCGTTATTACTGACATTGCACCAAAGTTATATGTATACAGGAGAACTGCTGCTCTTTGGCCACTTTGCCATGTTTTTTTCTCCGATCTTTGAGTGGGAAAATGTTACTTTGCTAAGTTCTAAGGTCAGACTTGTATTTTGAAGAAGAAAAAAAAGGAACATTTTCATGCCCTTTTAAAATTTCAATGGTTACTGGGCTTCAAAAATCCTTGTGAAATAAACCATAGTTGATCTTTGCAAGATTCATAGTGCATGAAAATTTAAAAACTGGCAAATATCTGTTCTAATTTTGTTTAAGACTACAAGGCGACTGAAGCTAAACGAGTTTGGAAATAGCAGCAGTCTGCTCCCCTTGCTCCTTGTCTATTAATATTCTAGAGGTCACATTGAGCTTTTATGCTTGTTTGCCCACCATATTGCTGTCTTGTGCATTATTCAGTCTTCCTCCTCCCTTCTTGCTTTCCTTTCCTATCCTCCCAAAGAAGTGTATGTTTTGATCCTCCAAAGCCACAAGGTCCTCCACTTTTACCTCTGAGATGAAATTTTTCACTTTCCCTAGACAGTAGACTTTCCTTTGGGCACTTAAAATAAACTACCTCTCACCCTGACTCTTAAACCTTACAAACTGACAATGTTGAGAGTAGCGTCCTACACAACAATGCAATGAACCTTACTTTTCCCAAAGGAAATCAATGGTTATTTTTCTTCCCTGCGGTCACTCTGTCACTAAAAGCAGTCCATCCCTCATCTGTGTCTTACTGTTGTAGCACAATGCTATCTCTTGATGAAGTGTTCAGTGATTGAGAGGGGTTGAGAGGGGGTAGGGCATTGTATCCCAGACATAAAGACTATATATATCTTGCTTTCTACTGCCCAAATGAAGAGACCGTTTCTGACTTTCCTTACATTCACCAACTGCTGGTGGGTATTTGACAGTTGAAAGGAACAGAAATGAGTAAATGATAAAGCAATGCTGCCAACAGGTACATAAATAACATATTTAATATGTTTTTGTGGTTCTGAGGATAGAGGTCTATTTTTGTATCAGTTGTTGTTATTGATCCAGCAACATCTGGGCTCTCGTCCTTCTGTCCAATGCCATGTTGTAATAAGTGCAGGTTTGCTGCAGTTGGTGTAATGTTCCGTAGAGTGTGTTGTCAAAGTTAGGTCTCGCAGGGAGAAGTGTAGCTCTGATGTCATTTAGGGCTGTATAGTGGAACAGGTGATGTTCCACAGTATTTTTGTATCAGAAAACAGGTATTCTCTGTTTTCTAGTATTGCTCCTGAATGGTGGATGCTGAGGAAAAATGATGAACATTCTAGAATGGATTTGTGAATGATAATGAGCATGAAGCTCATCAGTTAAATGAAGAGATCTTTTGCCGAAGGTCTACATTTGAATAGCTTAATTTATTAAATACAGAAAAGTGGGGATGAAGGGTTTGGAGGTGGTTTATTTGACCAATGCCCGTCATCTGAACTCACTGTGTCGGTAAAGTCTTTTTTTTTTTTTTTTTTTTTTTTTTGGGCTCTCAAAAGTTGGGAGCTTTGATAATGCTGAGTGCCTCAAATGCTAGCACACTGTATGTTCCATGTGAGACAGAGATGGTAAAGTAAAATGAACGTGCCAGCTTATGCAACTATTGTGAAGTTGCAAGAGCCTTTGCTTGGGGTATGAGACCACTGACACTCTATCTTGAACAAGGAATACAGCCTTGAGAAGTCAGATCTGATAATTTCTTCCCTCTACACCCTTATTTTCTCAATCACAAGCACATGATCCCAAGTTTGTGTTTTATTACCCTGTTTGCAGAAAAACGTTGCCTTGTTTATGATGTTGAAAAAGGCTATGTCACTGTACCTCCATATTGCAGACTGTGTTATATCAGGGAGCATCTATTCCTTATGCCTCTTGCATTGTGCTGGTTCAACTGTCAGTACTTCATAAAATTCCTGAGGGTGGTTAACTCTTGTGTTCTTATTCCTTAAGTTAAATGATTCGGCTTAAATTTGAAGGAAGTTGGTGTATTGTAAGATTTTAGCTTGTTTTAATCATTTAATTTTCTCTCCATTTTGGGTTTAAGTTGTTTGAACCTATGATGTTTCCGTAGCAAGTTGAAATGTATTGGAAACAGTCTTCCTATAGACCTTATTTGAGAAAGTTTTCATGTATTAATCCCACTGTATTTTCTATTTTTACCTGTGCCCTGTCCATTCATTTCAAATTCACATGTTAACTCTGTGAAGACTGTTTGTTTGAGTTTGACGTCAAATTGTGGGGTTTTTTGGTTGATGTGTCTTATATATATACATTTGATAGTTTAAAAAATATTTTACTACAATTATGTGTCCAAAACCCCCTGACAGTTTAGAATTTGAAAAATAAAAGACTGTCAAAGCAAAAAGAAACAAATATACAGACTACAGAGTTGGCTATGTCTTTCCAAAGAGCTGGCTTTCAGCATCTTTGTGACTCTTTGTCTATCTCTTCTCTCTGTCATGTCTCTAAAGAACTTACTTATTCTCTCTGTGTTCTCAGCCATTATTTCAAAGAACTTACTCTGTGAGTCCTTATTCTCAGCCATGTCTTCAAAGAACAAACTCGAATTTTGTGTCTCTCTGTGCTCAATGCCATATATCTGTTATGATTTTTTAAAATACCTTTTCTTGCTCCCATCTCTCCTTTTTCCACAGCACCATCACCCTTACCCTTCTTCTGCACTCTTTTCTTTCTTCCATGTCTTTGGTAATCTTCTTTGATTTGCCCAGTGCCTTCAATGTTCTTTTCCAGAAATCTGCTGTGCTTTGAAACGAATTGAAATTTCAATATTCAGTTCACCATTTTGGGATGAAGGATGTGTTTTGACAGTTCAAACAAACATTTACATAGAGTATTGCAGGTGACGGGGGATGATGGATTTGCAACAAGTCAGCATCATTGTGTTTTCACTGAGTTAAAGACAAATTGTTCCTGTATTTTACTTTTTTTGTGGTGGTGGTGGAACTGTCTTGACCCAGAGCGGTAGAGAGACTGAACTTTAATTGCTTGGTCCTTTTGATGTTACGTGCTCAAGACATGAGTTCAACTCCTATGTGGGGAAGACATTTTATCGAGAATCTCTGTTTGTCTGTTGGGATCAATATTTCATGCAGCCCAGGTTGACCGTAGCAGGCAGGGTTGAAGTACCCCACATCCTAAATCATTTAAATTGTCTCAATGTGGGTGAAATATTTATGATTAATCCTATGACTCACAGCTCTCATTTTGTGGAGTTATTTACGCATGCCAAGTGTGCCATCATAGCCAGACATAGAGAGGGGTTTGAAGTGATACAGTTAAGTGCTTGTAAGTGTAGATGAGACGTCACAAGAATGCAGTTCAGGTGTAAAAAATTTGGCAGTTTTGAGCTCTTAGTCCTGCTGTTGGAAGTACTGGTTACCTCTTTTCTCTCCCCTTCTATATTCCTTCCCTCTCTCATTCTTTACTTTTATCACAACCACGAAAAGTATTTACAACATCTTATAATCAAAAGGTAAGTTTTAAAATCCTGTTGTCATGTAGCATATTTTATTTTCCATGCAATTATGGGGTGTATTATTTCATTTTTTGTAAGTTTTTCATACTGTTTTCAGTTTCGGAATGAATCTTTAAAAAATGTGTGGTTTGCATCAGCAAGGAATGTATGTCAATGTGTCTATTTATCTCTTCTTTTTTCCTTTTCCTTTTGTTTCCAGCATACGAATGACTTTGCCCTGTACACAGAAGCGATCAAGTTTTTCAACCACTCCGAGTCTATGGTTCGCATTGCTGTCAGGACTATCACTCTCAACGTGTTTAAAGGTAACTGATACCTTTTATATAGCTGTACCTGTTCAGCAACGGTCAGTTCTTGACCTCATGTTGTTAACAACAGCAAATGTCTGATGCTGGCTGTAGAAATGTATTTGAAAAGTTGGCGATTAGTTGGGATTGGGGGAGGG